TATTCTGTGCCATTTGTTCAACCTTCATGACCACGTAGATTTTCATAGTGAAAGCAACTTTTTTTTTTGCAAAACTTTTTTTTTTATTCGCACGCGCGCATCAGTTTTGGGGTTCCCAGAGGATGTCATCCATATAATCAAATCAACATGGCCTTACCGGTCACATCTGTTGTGTCATCGTTTCAAACTCTGCATAATACATTGTAAAAAGGTTCAGGGCAGATGTAATTTCCTTATTTAGAAAGTCTACTACAATGTAGTTGCTTCTTCCTATTTGTCTTTGAAATTCTTTCCATTGTTAGTAGCACATTTTATAAGATTGCAACTGTTTCAAAAACATTTTTATGATTGCTCCACAGCTTTGACACAACCATACATGAAGCATTATCCCATAGAATTTGCAACTTTATGAATCTGTCTCAATTTGTGATCTGTTTTTCTGCTTTTCAAAAGCTTCTAAAAGCTTTCAGTTTGTAGAATTTAGGACACAGAATGTCAGAATGTACTTTTCTTTCAGTTGGTTGAACTCTTTTTCCCACTGTAACTCACTGTCTGTCTTGTGCATGCATGCTTGCTTCCTTGACAGGCCACCGTTTGCTTGGAGGTAATCTCTTTCAGAATCTATACAGTCATGAATGAACATTATTGCTTGACAATCGTACATGTTACAGTGTATGGCAGTAAGGCCGCAGCAAGTAAGTTTTATGGATGACATCAGCGCACGCATAAATTTTCGCCTGATTTTGGAAAAAGAAAAGAAGAAATTTTGTTGCCTTTTGAAAGTGGTCAACATGCAGAAAATGGGCAAAGATGTCTGTTGCCATGCTGGAAGGTGGATGACAGATAACTATGAAGAGAGGAGACAAGAAAAGGCTCTGATTTAATTTTTTGCTTCTTACTTTGAAGCAGTGATATGTGATGCTGGCTGTGTATATGTGATCTTCCCACTGAATCAAAACCATTTGTACAATGATTGAGTCAAAATTTTATGATGAAGGAATCTTGTTTTTTTTCGGCCCGCCTTGTTTTTTTTTCACCCGCTCGCATTAGATTTGGAGTTTGTGGAGGATGTCATCCATAAAATTTACTTGCTGTGGCCTAAGACAACAATACTACAAAACTCAACTATCTTACAAGTAAAAATGTATTTCTACAAACTACTATCTATAACAATATATGAGTTACAATATGGTCATGTTTGATAGTTTGGTCTCGCTTATAGAATGAGGTATACAGAAATTGACCTACAATGTATGTATAGGACTGGCACTCGACCATAAGTCAAGTAATGTAAGTCAAGTATGTAGGCAGATATGGGAGTTGGACACGACAATAAGGCCACACCAATTTAATTTGTTGGTTAACGGATTTTTGTAGGAAAATAATGGTGTGGGCGGGCAAAAAAATAAAAATAAAAACGGGCCTGGGCATCCTACATGTATTATGACCCAAAATGGTACGATAGGAGCCATGAAGTCAACACACCAGGCTGGTTCAAAATTTAAACAATGAATTTTGAACTTTTAAAGATACCATTGCATTGAAAGATGAAATAACTGTAACAACTAGGATGAAAAGGACTGTTTTCAAACTATTCAGGGCAAAATATGAGCATTTTGCAGTTGATTCTGAATTTTTATTTTTATTTGCAAACCAGAAAAAAATAAAGCGGGCGAATCCGTTAACCAAGAAATTAAATTGGTGTGGCCTCACAAATCTTTGAGCAGGCCCTGAGATGTGTTGACAGCCATTGTTCCATCACCAACATCACCATAACAAGTCAGAGGCAGAATTGGGCATGCTTGACCTTGTATGTGAATGAGTGGAGGACTATGTGAATTTTTGCCATGTGAAAAGGCAAAGTCATTTGTGACTGATGACAGAATATACACACACATATAGGCACTCTGTGATTCTAAGACACTATCTATAATTATGTTAGTTATCAAGCCAACCAATAGGGGTATATTTCAATTTTGTAATTCACTTGCCCTTGTAGTGTGTCCTCTTTAGGACGGGTCCATGTAGTCAGGCAGCTTTCACACAGTGCTTTCCCTGTTTCTTAGCCATGAGAAGAAGCAGTGAACCATGTATAATGTCCCAACAAATGGAAAGCAATGAGTTAAATGCACCATTACACATGTCAAGCTTTTTCTTCTTTTCGGAAATCAGCTTATGTATTTTATTTATACTAGATTAAATATACTATGATCCAAAGTTGTATTTCATCAAGTTTAGTCAGTTAGAATAGTCAGGGTCAACCTCAGCACCCCAAAATGAAGCTAACAAATTTGCTTAAGTGAAGGTGATGTTGTGTTGAGAAAGGTCATGTTTGGGGCAGGCAGCAGTGTTTTGACTTTTTCCTCAAACAACGCTCCCGGCCGTGGCTCCACACTTCAATTTTGTACAGGGGGCTAGGAGAAGAGTGCTGCTTGTACGAGCCTGTCTCTCCCTGACTCTAACGTTTTCCTGCTCTCTCTCTCTCTCTCTCTCCTGCTTTCTCACACCCCTGGGTGCTCTCACTTGAAGTGGCACAAGGCTGAATCTGGCCGGCTGCTTGTGGAGATTGTAAGTACATGTATACTGGTGCTGGGAGCCAGTTTTCATCTGGCATGCTGAGACATGTTTGTCACTAAGCCCCTGTCACACATTCTGGACCTTTCCCCTGACATTACCCCCAAACACCAGCCAACCACGTTCGGGAGCAGATTGACCAGATTTAGGCCACGCCTACATGTATCTCTATGTGGGAATCTAAACGGTTTTAAGTTATTTTTGACAAAATATTTACACATAAACACACAACAAAAGTGTAGCTATGCTGGGAAGCTTTCGAGACGTACTCTGTCTCTTCATCAACCCGATTAAGATCTCGTCTTGGAGTTCTCTTGTCACGTGACTTGATGGGATAATCACGTGACAAGAGACAGTCATATACAGTCATATACATCCCAAATATGGTTGGCTGGTGTTCTGGGTTTTAAGTTAAATTTGAATCAAATTTGACCCCTGGTCACATCCCCAAAACTGCTGACTTACATCCCAAATATGGTTGGCTGGTGTACTGCTGACTTACAGCTGAATACCAGCCTATCTTTATGTGGGAATCTAAACGGATTTGAGTTAAATTTGAGTCAAATTTGACCCCTGGTCACAACTCCAAAACTGCTCAGACTTACATCCCAAATATGGTTTGCTGGTGCTCCGCTGACTTACAGCTGAATACCAGCCTAAATGTTTATGAGGGAATCTAAACAGATTTGAGTTAAATTTGAGTCAAATTTGACCCCTGGTCACATCCCCAAAACTGATGACTTACATCCCAAATATGGTTGGCTGGTGTTCTGCTGACTTACAGCTGAATACCAGCCTAAATGTTTATGAGGGAATCTAAATGGATTTGTGTTAAAATTGAGTCAAATATGACCCCTGATCACAACTCCAAAACTGCTGACTTACATCCCAAATATGGTTGGCTGGTGTTTTGCTGACTTACAGCTGAATACCAGCCTAAATGTTTATGAGGGAATCTACACGGATTTGAGTTAAAATTGAGTCAAATTTGACCCCTGAAATTTGATCCCCAAAACTGCTCAAACTTACATCCCAAATATAGTTGGCTGGTGTTCTGCTGACTTCCCCAAATGTTTTAAACATTATTGTGGAACATTTGGTTGGCGCAGCCGAATAGTAACCAACCTCGCCAAACACCAGTCAACTTTGCTCCGACCTGCACCTAACCATGGTTGCGGTGCATTAGGCTAGTGTTGGGGAGACCAAATTTGTGAACGTGTGACAGGAGCTTACAACATGGCACCACTGACTGACTTCTGTTGCTGCATGACGAATGTTGGAAATAACAAAATTTCCATAACAACTTTAACACCTGACAGCAACAACTTTCCTCTTTAGGCTGCAACCCATGGGCAACCAAAAATGTCACATATTGTTCAAGGAATTTGACTGTTTTTTGTCTTTTATATTTTGCATGTTCCTGTTGTAACATCAAGTTCAGTTTTGGCTGCTCAATGGTTTCATAGCAATTTCAGGGTGGCAAAACTTGATTTTTCAACTCAATTTTCTAGTCATTGTTTTAATTTTAATTAGTAAGTTGAATCAACACCTATCCTATAGCATACTGATATACACATGTATGTGATGTCTCTGACAGAACATGGTTGCTTGTTTTGTATCTGGTTCTAGCTACATGTATTTCTCGAGAAAACAAAGAGAAAGCTCAAGTAGCTTGCTTTTGGAGCTTTTTCCAATACTTGAAATGATGACGAAAACATGCGAAGAAATGGCCGCAGTACAAGTCATTTAAATGTACCAGACAGATTTCCTAAATCCCTGCCACCCTGAAATTGCATCAGAATGATGCCTTTAAGAAATAATTGTGTTAAAAATGGATGAATTCACATCCTAAAGTTTAGTATAACGTTCCTTCCATTCACTCCCATAGCGACATGTACAGTAACTGTTAGGTCTAGGAAAAAAAATGTAACATTTCTGTTTCCTGTTTCCCGACCAACCCTAGAAAAAAAGTGCCCTAGTCTTTTTTTGGTGGACCCCTACAAGGGACATACAGTTTTCGAGCTGATCGACCCACGATTTCTAGCTCCATGATCTGACAACTGAGTGATGTAACATTGTTCAATCAGTTTTCCAACACTACTGACATTGAAAATGAAAGTGTCCTCATGCAAGTTTTACTTTGTTGAACTGTATTATATGTTATAAGTTGGATCACTAGAGATTGCAATGTCTAAAAAAAAGAAAGAAAAAAAGAAAAAAAAAAGATAATTCCTACCTACCGACACTATTTTTTTCATGACTGAAACAGGAAACACAGCATTTTTTTTCCTAGGCCTTTCAGTAATGGATGCATGGTGACAGACGCCCCACCACTGCAGTTGTTTTGATGTCTTGATTCCCTGGATAAGGAAAAGACCTGCTAGCAACTTGCTAAATAAATGCCTGTGCAAGACCTTGACTCCTTTACTTTGTTTTTTTTCCTGGCATGCCCAAGTGGTTTTGTGTCTGTCTTTGCTTCTGTACTCCTACACTGAGTGCTAGCCTGAGCATGCCTCTTGTAAACTGTGGTCTGTCTGTAATCACTTCATTGCATGGTTCCTGCTGTAACAATTAGGCTATGCAAAAGTAGTAAGTGCAATAATACAAATTTAAAGTAGTGCAATAATGGGGGAATGTTATTCAGTAAGGCTGTTTTTATCTATTTCTGTTAATTTTTTTTTAATGTACAAAATTTAATGTAGATGTTGACACTATAGAGAATTTTTTTTCTCAAAATATCACTCATTTTCAGGACTGGTGATTGTTTCTCTCTCAAGTTTCTATTATTGCTGTTGAATTTTGATACAATAAAAAAATTAATCCTTTGCCAAAGACACCATTCTAGAATAATTATTTTAATGTATAGATTTTGATTGCACTAGCAAGATAAGTACATGTACATGTATATGTAACTGCAACATGATAATTTGAAAATCATGAAACACATAATTTTGTTTTAGTAAGACAGGCCAAGCACACAATACAGTTAAAACAAAATGAAATGTAAAAGGATTGTATTATATTCACACCATACCATTGGCTATTTTTAGACCAAAAATGTGTATTCTTGATTCCTGGCATTGGCGTTAAAATCAACTGAATTTTTTTTCTTTCACAGACGACATATAGAGGAACTTGAGGAGGAACACCGTAAAGCAGAGGATGAAAGGATGGCGGAGCAGAGAGCCAAGGAGCAGGAGCTCGAACAGAGAAGGCTCCAGGTCTGGTACACCAAGCAAACTAGGGAAAAAGATATTTTTGCAGCTGTGTTTTAATTTTATTGCAAGAATAGCGTTGTGAATTACATTGTAGTATGCAGTAAAACAATGGAAACATTCATGGTATGGTGTGATTTTGTGGTCCAAAGGTTACTGCAAAAGACACAACAAAATTGTCAAAATTTTAGTTTGACACATAGCTGCTGATAACTACTACTACTACTACTACTACTACTACTACAGTAACTACTACTTCAACTACATGCACTACTACTACTACTCTACTACTACTCTTCTACTACATGTACTACTAAAATAAATACTACTACTGTAGCTACTACTACTATTGCTACTGCTACCACTAACTACTACTACTACTACTTCTCCTACTACTACAAATGTACTGCTACTACATGTACTACTGCTACTACTACTACTACTACTGCAACCACTACTACTGCTACTATAATTATTACTGCTACAGTAACTGCTACTACTACTACTACTACTACTACTACTACTGCTACTATTACAACAGTAACTACTACTGTTGCTACTACTTCTACTGCATGAGTAGTTGACATTGGCCCGTGTGTTTGTGTGTTGTCAGGTGGAGAAGCTGCAGCAGGAGAGTCTGACGGTGAAACGTGAGGCGGAGGAGGTTCAACAGAAGATCAAGAAGGAACGGGACGCCCTGAAGAGGAGGAGCATGGACATCGAGAAACAACTCAGGGACTACATGCAGGAGAAGGAGAAATTCCAGGTGTGACTGTTTTTTTCGTATGAACTGGCAGGGCTCGAAATTCATTTTTGGGAATAGGTGCACTGGTGCACCCAACCTAAAAATTTAGGTGCACAAATTTTTTTTGGGTGCACCATATAAAACAAAACCTACAAAATGTATGTACAGATCTTACTGCTCCTCTTCTGAGCTTGAATCTGAAATGGGAGCTAACTTCAAAATCTTACACAAGTACTACTACTAACTGTAACAACAAAGATTTTATTCTTTATCTGACACTTACACGCCAAGAATATCCTGTATACTACTAGACATTTGATATGCACAAAAACACCTACAAAAATATTTGGGTGCACCAGTGCACCCACAGAAAAAAATTGGGTGCACAGCTCCAATATTGGGTGCACTAAGGTGCACATGCACCCAGTATTTCCAGCCCTGACTGGTTTTGCACTCACTGGGCAAACATTAAAAAAATGATAATATAAGCAAAACAGATAAACAATGTTTGTTGTTGACGTCAGGTGGAGAAGATTCAGGAGATTCAGGCGAGGGAGGAGGAGCGCGCTCAGTTTGAGAAGGAGAGGAAAGAACGGGTCCTGGAGCGACAGAAACTGGAGAAGGAGAATGAAGAGATCAAGCTGAGGATGCAGGATGAACTCCAGAAACTTGAGGTACTGACTGCTTTATTACTGACCAGTGACTGCTTTACTACTGACCAGTGACTACTTTACTACTGACCAGTCACTGCTTTACTACAGATCAGTGACTGCTTTATTACTGACCAGTGACTGCTTTATTACTGACCAGTGACTGCTTTACTACTGATCAGTGACTGCTTTACTACTGACCAGTCACTGCTTTACTACTGACCAGTGACTGCTTTACTACTGACCAGTGACTGCTTTACTACTGATCAGTGACTGCTTTACTGCTGACCAGTGACTGCTTTACTACAGATCAGTGACTGCTTTACTACTGACCAGTGACTGCTTTATTACTGACCAGTGACTGCTTTACTACTGACCAGTGACTGCTTTACTACTGACCAGTGACTGCTTTACTACTGACCAGTGACTGCTTTACTACTGACCAGTGACTGCTTTACTACTGACCAGTGACTGCTTTACTACTGACCAGTGACTGCTTTACTACTGACCAGTGACTGCTTTACTACTGATCAGTGATAGGGAACAGTACCACAGAAACTTGTGGTACTGACTGCTTTACTACTGACCAGTGACTGCGTAACTACTGACCAGTGACTACGTAACTACTGACCAGTGACTGCTTTACTACTGATCAGTGACTGCTTTACTACTGATCAGTGACTGCTTTACCACTGACCAGTGACTGCTTTACTACTGATCAGTGACTGCTTTACTACTGACCAGTGACTGCTTTACTACTGATCAGTGACTGCTTTACTACTGACCAGTGACTGGTTTACTACTGATCAGTGACTGCTTTACTACTGATCAGTGACTGCTTTACTACTGATAAGTGACTGGTTTACTACTGACCAGTGACTGCTTTACTACTGATAAGTGACTGCTCTACTACTGACCAGTGACTGCTTTACTACTGATCAGTGACTGCTTTACTACTGATCAGTGGCTGCTTCACTACTGATCAGTGACTGCTTTACTACTGATCAGTGACTGCTTTACTACTGATAAGTGACTGCTTTACTACTGATCAGTGACTGCTTTACTACTGATCAGTGACTGCTTCACTACTGATCAGTGACTGCTTTACTACTGATCAGTGACTGCTTTACTACTGATAAGTGATGGTGAACAGTACCACAAAAACTTGTGGAAGTTGTGATGCTTTAGCTTGTTAGTGTGCAAAGATGTTTAAAAAGTGCTGTTGTTTGTGCTGTGTGTAGGAGATGGAGGAGACACAGAAGCAGGCAGCTGAGGCAGCCAAGCAGCAAATAGCCACAGAACTGGCCAGTCTGGAAACAGAGAGGCAGCAACAGAAGAACAGGTTGGAGGCAGAAATGAGGAGGTGAGATTTTCATCTACACCATATGGAACGAATTTTGTTGTATTATGCATGGACTTAAGATTCCTGTAATGCAATATAAGGGATTGCATTTGCTTTTTCCGATGGCAACGTACAAAACAATCATTATGATAGTGTAAGAACATAAATCTTAAAAAGGGAAGAATCTATTTCTAGGTAACAAGAATTTGGGTACGTGAAAAAGCACTGTGCTTCACCTCCATTGAGTACATGTAGGACCAAAGAAGACATTTTTGGCTATTGGAACTAAGAATATTCTTACCAGTGTTGAGATTGTCTTGCGTTACATGTATAGTCTGTACAGTCATTCATTCATTACAAAAAGCACCAACTTCAACTTCTAATCAGTTAGCCTTGTGTATAGTAGCCTTGTGTATTAGACTTTCTATCCTCTATTTTGATGTCCCAAGGAAGACTTTGCTATTTATTAATTGTCACTGGAAGTTTTGAGCCACTCACACTGGGAAGGTCCTTTTTGATGTGTGGTGGGATCTTAAACTTACTCAAGGTGTGGCTGTCCTCTGGCTTTACGTCCTATCTGAGAGAATGTCCCTAACCGAAGCTATATATGTATATAGGTACTCATTTACATTTAAGTCAATTTAGGAAAGATGTGTAAAGTGCAAGAACACAACATTGGGGCCTGCCAGAATTTTGAACTTAACATCTTCAGATTCTGAGTCAACAACCCTAACTACAAGAGCATCCTGCCACCATCATCTTTTTTTTTCAGGCTTGCTGAACAGGAGGCTGTGCAGAGGGAACGTGCCCAGAGGTTTGAGGAGGACATCCAGCAGCAGAGAGAGGAACTGCAGCAGGAGAAGGATGAGGAGATGAGGCTGGTAGAGGAAGAGAAAAGAAAGGTCAGTAACAGTGGCAATCTGTGGACAACATTTATTTTGCACTGATGATTTTAAATTTTGTTTGCTATACTTTTTTTTAAATTTTATGCACTTGTATTCCTGGTGTGGTTTAAATTTGCTATTAAATGCAAGTCATAGCAAATCTGCATAATTTTACATTTCTAGCTACATTTTGGACTTAAAAAACATCCTTCACATCAAAAAGAAGAATAGACATGTACATGCCTGTGCATACAATGTACATGTATATTTTGTATTATGTATGTGTGTGCATGTGTGTTTGTGCATGTACAATGTATGTGTGTTTGTGCATGTATGTGTGTGTGTGACTGTGTATTTGCATGGCACATGGATGTATGTATCTGTCAGTACTAGCCAGCCTTAATTTTGTAAGATCGAGTCAAGTGCCAAAGGCCAGAGGCGCGACAATCCAAGTGGGGTCCAGGGACATGCTCCTCCATGAAAATTTTGGAATCTTGACCCTGTGAAATGCTATTTACTGCATTTTGAGGGGCAAATATTGCTGGTAGACTAAGCTTACCTTTAATGACTCACATCTCATTACATTTACATGACAGTTTTTTTCTTTGAAGGATTGGGCAACATTTTTGTCTGGTCGCGAACAGCAAAATTCTGTGAAATGATGGAAAGATGGATGCTGGCTAGAACACTGGAATTTGTATATTTATAAAGCGCCATTCAGTGGGTAAAAATCCTCATCGTAAAATTACTATGCATTGTATTGACACCGACAATGCTGTCCCCTGCCCAGGTTGAAGAACTGAAGACAGAGTTAGGGAGACTGAGGACAGACGCAAACACCAAGAAGCAGGATCACCAGAAAGAGTTGGAGCTCGCCGTACAAAGGTACAACTCTACTCACTCCACTCTACTCAGAACTTCAAAATTTAATCATAGTTAAAGGCATCCAATGCACTTTCAGGGCTGGATTTCCAAACTTTAAGTCAATTTTCTGGTCATTCTTTTAATGAAGTACCAATGAGTTGAATCAATCCTATGCCATATAACATACATGTACTTTATATATTTGAGGCTGGTTCTAGCTATTTATGGGCAGTACCTTAAAAGAGACAACTCACGTGTCTTGTTTTTGGGCTATTTCAAATGCTTCATTAAGTGTGAAATGATGCCAAAAATGTGCTAAGAAATGGCAGTAAGTGTCAATATCAGACAGATTTTCTAAGGCCATACCAATTTAATTTCTTGGTTAATGGATTTTTCTAGAAAAATAATGGAGCGGGCGGTCGAAAAAAAGATAAAAATAAAAACAGGCCTAAGCATCCTATTATGGCCCAAAATAGTACGTCAAAAAAATGTAGGAGAAATAAAGTCAACACACCAGGTTGGTTCAAAATTTAAACAATGAATTTGGAACTTTTAATGATACAATTGCATTGAAAGATGGAACAAGAAGCCATAGGCGACAATTCTCCGTGAAGTATTATATATTGCAACAAAAAGAAGTAGCCATTGGCGACAATTCTCTGTGAAGTGTGATAAATCGAACAAAGAAAAATTGTTTAAACGCGCGTCGGCTCAGTCATCTTAAGACGCAACAACCAATCAGAGATGCGAGATGCCTACACGTGACGCGGGAAGGGCGCGCGATGCCCGAAATATTTTTGCGTCAATATTCAGCGCCGTGATTCAAGAGATTAATACCCGGAAACAATTTTTTTCTTGTTTTGAACGCATTAACATGCATTTACGCTAATCTAGTATGATTCAGGGTTACTTTTTTTTTAACCTGCCATGGCCAGATTATCTAAAGATGTGTGTATTGTGTGTACAATCTATAGAAAGAGAAATGTACATCAGGCCCGATCATCCGATTTTCACGTTTCGGTTTTTTGGACTCGGTTCATGAACGTATTTTGGTTTGGCTCCTGGAATGTGCAAAAAAATGACTCCCGGGACTGTCTACAGGGAACACTCGCACATTCGCGGTGTATCAGGACAGCGCGACTGGTCGTCATTAGCGCAGTAACAGTTGCATAAACGGACGAAACCATTTCAAAGAAATGGGGATGTTTCGAAAATAAGCATTTACTCCAATATCAAAACAGCTACGGTAAAAATAAAAAGACGTGCATCATCCCGGACATAATGCAACACCACATGCGAAATTACACAGAAATGCGACGTACGGAAGAATGCGTTTTGGCTGCGAACATCTTCCAAAAAACTTGGCATCTCTTAACCATGGGCAAAAACATCTGGAACCACTTATAAAAACCACCCCGTATCTGCATGAACTTTTTTGAACCCCACTGCTATTCCAAACAACGCGTTTTTCTGGACCATTCCAATTCGCCTCGTAATTGTAGGGGTGCGTCTGCGATATTACATTGACCGCGAAAGCAGCAACGGCAAAAATACACATTCGTGCATCAACACGGGCATGCCCGCAGACGGCGTATAAAATTGCGTGCCGATTACACAAAGAGAACCCAGTGTTTTGACTGCGAACATGAAAAATCAGCCGATTACAACACTCCGTCCGGAGGTCCTGACCTCCTTCACGGAGTAATAACTGTAACAACTAGGAAGAAAAGGACTGTTTTCAACTGTTCAGGGCAAAATATGAGCATTTTGCTGTCGATTCTGAAATGTTTTTTTGCAAATCAGAAAAAAATGAAGTGGGCGAATCCCTTAACCAAGAAATTAGATTGGTGTGGCCTTATCCATATTTCTATACACTTCTACTACCAGCAAGGAAATTATCTTATTTTTGAATTCACTATGTTGGATACTTTGTTTATCAAAATGAGGTGGGGTGGTTTGAGACTTGCTCCAAATACCACAGTGGCTATACTTTGCATAAAAAAAAAATCTACATGTACTTGCCCAATCGGGCAAGTTCAGGGGGATATGCACTTGCCCGAACAGTACTTTTACTTGCCCTGAGCAAGTGGGCAAGTGGACTTGTCCGACCCTGTGTTGATGTGTTTTACCCCCCAGGTTTGAGGAGCTGGAGAGAGAAAAGATGTCGGCCATCGCTAAGAAGGAAGAGAAGCTGCAGAAGAAGAAGGACAGGTTGGAGAGGGAGATCCAAGATGGCCGCCAGCAGCTGGAGTCTGACCTTGAGTTCCTGCACCACCGCGAGGTCAGACTAAAACAGATCAGCGAGATGGTCGACTTCGAAAACGAGGAGGAGAGACTGGAGGTATTATTAGAGTATGCTAGCCCGGTTTGGGGAGGCCTGCCCAAACGCCTCAGTCTCAAATATGCTTGAAGTTGTGCAAAAGAGATGCTGTAGGATCATTAGCATTCCAGTTGAATCTTTGCCTTCTTTGTGTCCAAGCGAAATCAGATCACTCAATTCAGAACATCCTGAAGGATGCTGTTAGTCCCCTGCTTGAATTTTTGTGTCCACTCCGACACAATTACACGTAATTACAACTTGCGTGCAGAGGTAAACCAGCCACTGTCTTAACATCCAGTAAAATGAAAAGACATTGATTGAACAGTCATGCACTGAAGCTATTGTCTAAAACCTGATCTTTGTATATGTATAGTCACTGTGGTTTTATGATGTTATTCATCTCTGGTAATACTGAATTTCAGAATGTTGTACTCATGGATGTGATAAGTTTTTGTGCTGTATTTTACCGCTAATGATGCAGATATTTGTACAATATAGGATTTTCTGCTAACTATCTTTTTGTAATAATGGGTGCATGTTGTGAATACTCGACATATTTCATGCGCTTCATTGTTACATACCAGTCGATATTCATTAAATCTGAATCTTGAATCTTGAAAGGTGGAGAGAGAGGCCCAGGCTATCGAGCAGGAGAGGATGAGACTACAGGACCAGGAGCAGTGGCTCAACGACCAGGAGAAAGAACTAGAGGTCATCCTCGCAGCAGACCAAAAGGTCCTCGAGGAGGAGAAGGCAAGCCTCCAAGAAGAGTTGAGCAAAGAGAAAGACAGGATAGACGGCCTGCAGATGACTCAGTCGGTGATTGAGCGGCAGATCGAGGAGAGCAGCGCGGCCCTGGAGAGGAGGACCACCAAGATCATGCAGGACGACGCGCGGCTGAACGAGCTGGAGCGGCAGAGGAAGGTCACGGTCTGCACGCTGGAGGAGGAGAAAAAACTACTGCAGGAGGAGAAACTGCAGCTGGAGATCATCGAGAAACAGCAGAGAGAGGACGCTGAGGTCAGTATGGGGAGGGGGGAGGCGTGTGGAAACAAGGTAGCAGAACACAGTTTTTGCCCTATGGGGATTTCTATAGTTAAGGACCCCAAGATGACTCACATCGACGCGGTAAAAATTATAGTAGGGTGCATTTCACAAATACGAAAATTGAATATGTTTGAGAAGAAGGTACAAACTACAAAATATCTAGAAACCAAAAAATCCTGTCGGCGTATCTGCTCGTAACGTACACTTTGAAATCGCCCTCTACGGATGTGACCTGAACTGCAGCCGACTCACCCGGAAAGCCAGTTGCATAATTCAGCGCATTTATACACGAACTGCAAAACCTTCACAATTCAAATCATACAGTCTCAAACCCGATACATTCCTACACAGCGCAATTTACATCTGGCTGACACTCTTATCAGGCTTCCTACCCAGCCTTCAAGAATATTCTCTGCACTACTTTCTATGCTCGCGTCACAGACCCCGGGGGTCGCCCATTAATACTGTGTGCTGCTACCACAAGAAAATGCTTCTCAAACCTAGAAAAAAGGTAACATTTGCCATGCAAAGCAAATGCATAATGTTTACTTTCGCATATGGTCTGCTCTGTTAATTCTTAGTACTCAAACACATTCATATAGTATATATGGTCAGACAGGAGTCTAAATCCCTCCTGCTATAAAATTGCAACATGATGTAACCCAACACTACACTGTAGTTGGATTACAGCTGGAGTCCAAGGGAAATGTAGCAGTAGCTTCATTAGTAGATGAACTGTCAATGAAATTTGACTGATCATGATGCTCATAACAGTGATTACACCTAACCACTGACACTAAAAACAGCAGAATTATTATAGTTATAGCATGATGATGATGATAGTAACGAAGCTGATTGGATACCAGGTTGCCCTAGCTGAGATCAATCGGCGCCAGTGTCAGGTGGACCAGGAGACCCAGGAGGAGGTTGGGAAGATCGAGATGCAGCGGCGCAGACTGGAGATGGAGCTGTCTGCCAGCGGCTCTCATGTGCAAGGTTTGGTCTTAGTTTTTTGTCAATTCTGGGCTGAAATAACAGGTGTGATATCCACCTACATGTACATATATGTCACACAGGGTTCTAACTGTTATAACACAGATTATAAAATTTGATTTCCGTATTTGGACGTCAGTGTTCGAAATAGCTGTCTGCAGTCTGCAATCTGCAGATAGATTTTCAAGATTGCAGAAGAAAAATTTATACAATCTGCAATTTTGCAGAAGGAAAAATAGGCTCCAGATTCAATAGTTTTCAATTTAGCAAACTAGAACTCTCTGGCCCCAAAGACAAACACTTAAGTGGGAGACAGCGGTGAAAGACCCGTGAATATACCAGTAAATGATAAATTTTCTGTGGAGAAGGATCTATAAAGTCTGAAATTAAAAAGAGTCATAGATTAAACTTAAAAGAATTCCAGTAATGCTACAGATTTACAAAGCTATACATGTGTAATGATGTAAAAAAGACATTAATGGTTTGTGAAGGTTGTAGTATGGAGGCTTGTGTATTTGCAGAAAGTATTTCCAAATTGCAGAACAAAATTTTGACTCTTCTGCAATATTGCAGAGCACTGAAAAAAAGTATTTCGACCACTGGACGTTGAAATTGAAAATTGATTTTTAGTTTAGGAATTTTGGCACATTTCACATTGAAATGTTTATTTTCTCACGTGGGTACGACTACATTGTATATTAAATAATTGAGAAATATTTGGCCGTGGTTGGGGGTACATCAGGAAGAACCTCGGGTGATACGGAATTCACTGTGTAGTATTCTATGTATATGTACACATGTACATGTACCATGCTAAAAGTCACCTGCAGGAATTTTCCTCTAACACAATTACAATAAATTGTGCATGTACATTGTTAAATTTCTCACCGATTCTGTCCATGGATTGGCGCCTATAAAGCCACATGCACATAGCAGGAAAATAACAGGTGTGATACATGTAACTACCATTATAACAAATTTTAGGCACAGGTACACGGGTTTAGATAGTGTACACTGAGGCACTGAGGTACCTAACATGCGGAAATAAAATTATGGAAGCACAGGCAAAACACAAACAGACACACTGAAAACAAAGTCTCTGTACACTGAGTAATGAGTCCTGGGGTCAATGTCACATTTCATACTAGTTCATTTCTTGAACAGGAAAAGACAGTCCGAGATCAGGCACGTCCAGCCCAGTGTCTGGTACAGAGAGTCCGGTGGTGGTGAGGGAGATCGATGCCTCCTCAGACAGGACAGAACAACAGGAGTTACTGATGGAGAGGAGACAGCACATGGCGGAGAAACAACAGCTAGAGGAGAGGGTCAAGGTAAAGCTTACACCTGTCATAAGGCTTGTTAACCATGTAGCTAGCGTAGTCCAGTGGATAGCAACCCTGCCTCTGGACTAAGAGGTTGGGAGTTCGAATCCCGGCTGTTGCCGCTCACCTGAAATGCATGCTAATGGAAAGCGCTGTAGACCTTAGGATCGGACATTAAACCATGGTTCACTGTTCATTGTGCTCGTAGAAAAGAGCTAGGGGAATTTCCTGGTCAAATGAACCTGTAAATACTGTAAATAACGTCTGTCTTCTCTGTTATGACCAGTGGGAAATTGGTTTGAGATCACTTTGCTTGGGGGATTCAGACTTAAAGGCACCCAAAGTCATTTCAGGGCAGTAAAACTAGAATTTCAAGTCAATTTTCTATTTATGTTTTTAAGTAGTATAAAAGTCGAATCATCGGATAGCTTACTGACGTATATGAGGCAAAAATGCAATGTGACTGTCCGAAAACGGTTGTTCGTTTTGTATAGTAGACTGGTTCTAGCTATTTATTGGTGGCACCAAAAAGAAGGAACTCCTCATAGTCATAGCTTGTGTATACATGTACATTTACATGTACCTTAAGAGAGAATAGAAATGAATCAAGAATATAAAAGAAGAGCCAAATGACAACTATGCTAGTAAATTTACTATTTATTGATTTTATTATTACTTAATACTTTTATGAATTATATTTCTCCATGCAGTGGAAGATGAAGTGGGGTTGGATTATGACTTAAGCATGACTTTAAGCAAGAAGATAGTTCTTTGTTGATTGGTCAGGTGTGGAAAACTTGGATAACTTTTGGAAACTTCTAAGAAAAATTCACCTCTTTCAAAATACTTTTGTGGACATTAGACCCATTCGACTTTTGTGGATCGCATAAACTGCTTATGTCATGGGGGGGGGGGCGCGATTTTGAACTGCTTACATCACATGGGGTGGGGGGCATTCACCTTTCACGGATCGTATAAACTGCTTACGTCACAGGCAATCATTTATGCGACGTCGGGTGGTCCAAATAGCTAAAAGCACCTTGAAATCAGGTGTCAGAACAAATCAACTTAACTGGCTGGAATGCCACCATACAATGTTGGTGCCGGCTTTTCCTGTCATTTCCGGTGATATTACCGAGAAAATAGACACCTACCTTTTGTAATAGTGATCTGCCGCGAGCACACGCCGCGTTCGATTTCCGTGTTCTAGAATGGCATTCCATTCGAAATGTCTCCCCTGCGACATAAACAGTTTATGTGATCCGTGAAAGTCGAATGGGTCTATTGATAAGTCATTTGCCATGACAGGAACTCCAAGTCATAGAGGAACAGTACAAGATGGCCAAGCAGGAGCTCCTGGAGAAACAGCACAAGTTTGAAGAGGAGCGTCAGCTGGAACTGGACAGGATTGAGATGGAGAAGGTCAAGTTGAAGGAACTGGAGGACCAAGAGAAGTACGCTGAAGCCGTGAGAAACCCGTGAGAACTGTCCCCTTCTAACTCTTTTTTTTAAACCACAGGCCACACCAATTTAATTTCTTGGTTAACGGATTCGCCCGCTTCATTTTTTTCTGATTTGTAAATAAAAATAAAAATTCAGAATCAACTGCAAAATATTTTGCACTTACAGTTGAAAACAGTCATTTTCATCCTAGTTGTTACAGTTATTCCATCTTTCAATGCAATGGTATCATTAAAAGTTCAAAATTCATTGTTTAAATTTTGAACCAGCCTGGTGTGTTGACTTCATGGCTCCTATCGTACCATTTTGGGCCATAATAGGATGCCTAGGCCTGTTTTTATTTTTATTTTTTTCGCCCGCCCGCTCCATTATTTTTCTAGAAAAATCCGTTAACCAAGAAATTAAATTGGTGTGGCCTTAACTCTTTTTTTGCATATCAATCAATTATAGTTTGTGCTTATAAACCTGCATTTCTCCTCTGGTCTCTCAGTCACTGACGAAAGCTAGTAAATACAGTAACTGTTGTACTAGCTGAAAAGTCTGACCGTTTCCAAAATCATATCCAGTTGCTTGAGTAACTGCTTTTTGGCGTATCTTTTTAACCTGCTTTGTAATTAGTGGATTCACTCATTTTGAAATTTTCACATCATAAACCTTGTTAAACAAGAAATGATACCTATATAGGGCTAAGTTTACTGCCAACTACATCCATTTCTCACTGAAACAACTTTGAAAAATAAAAGTTTTTAGCATGATTAATAATAATCAATCATTGCACAAATGGTTTTGATTAAATGGGAACATCACATATACACAGCCACTATCACATATAAAAGAAATAAAATACATCACTGCATCAAAGTAAAAGACGAAGCATTAAATCAGCACTTTTGTGTATTGTCTCCTCTCTTTATATTTATCTGCCATCCACGTATTTGGCATGGCAACAGACATCTTTGCCCATTGTCGGCAAGCCTCACTCGGTCAGTCTGCTGAGGGAGATCAGAGTGACTGGTCGAAAGCTCTAGGTGAGAGAATTTTATTGTGTTGGATGAAAAGTTTGAAGTTTAAACAGATCTGGCTTGTGTTGTGCCCAGCCTGGAGTCCCTTGTGGAGGAGGAGGTTGAGCGCAGGGTGCAGGAGGTGCGGCTGGAGCAGGAGCGCCGCCTAGCGGAACGGGACGAGAAGCACAAGCTGGAGCTGCAGCAGCAGAGGAGGGAGATGGAGAGGGAGATGAGGAAGATGAAGATGAAGTACCAGGCCAGGTAGGTCACCTCGCAGGGATTAGGCCACACCAGTTTAATTTGTTGGCTCTCGGATTTGCCTCTTCATTTTTTTCTGATTTGCAAAAAAAAAATTTGGTGCCAAATCAACTCAAGTATGCTCATATTTTGTCCCCAACAGTTGAGGAAAGTCCTTTTCTTCCTAGTTATTTTTCTAGTTAGTTTATTGTTTAAACATTAACCCAGCCTTTTGTGTTGACTTCATGGCTCGTATCGTAGCATTTGGAGCTATAATAGGATGCCTACCTAGACTTGGTTTTATTTTTTGTCGCCCTGTCGCTAAATTTTTTTTTCGGAAAAAATCCGAGAACCAACAAATTAAATTGGTGTGGCCTAATGGGATTGTGTGTGGTAGCGCTATATGTGTTTGGCTACAGACCAAGAGGTCTTGGGTTCGAATTCTACCTTGTTACTGATCTTGCCCTTGGGAAAGGCACTTAATATGACTTTCCTCATTTCACTCAGGTGAAAGTGAGTAGTACTACTTAGCTTTGGTTAAGGATATCCCTCGATTAGGACATTACATGGTCTAACTGCAGTCATACACGGACTGTCCTCAGACCATATGGTCTCATGCATTTTCAATTAATCATAATCTAAACCTATGAACATCACTGACAAATAAGTTTTTCATGACTACGTGACATGCACCAGCTCATAGGTACAGGTACAGGGGCGAAGTCCAGGCATGGCAATAATGGGGAAGCCTGTAAACATCATTATACCACTGGCAATGACAAACAAATTGATGGATGAACTAAGACTTAGTACTAGTCAAGTCAAGTCAAAGTTTATTGCATAACAATTGTAACAGCTACAATGTGTGGCAGATAATTAGATTACTACCTGATATGAGTATAATCAAGATTCTACATATAGGTTCAATGGGTACTATGTCTGGCAGAATGTTGAATAGAACTACTAAGAACTATAATTACACCTCTACATGTATGTTCTAAGCTACGCTATACTATATACTGGTACATGTAGTTACATGTAAACCTAATGGCCACCTCTTCAAGCCAGCCACATGGCCATTTCTTATCTATATATAGGCACAAGAAGACCACCTGTTCACCTGTCCAAGAAGACCAGTCTTTACTTCAGTCCCCTGGGTGGCCCTCTTGGGCAGGTTTCACTTTTCACTTTTCAGGGCACTCATGCACACATTTTTTGGTTAGTGAACAGGGGAGCCCTGGTATACAAAAAGGATGTACATGGTACATTGTACATTGTATAGCACTTGGGCTGATTTTCTGTGGCCGGTACATGTAGATGTCAGAGTACAGTCCTACAGAATACATAGTACATAAAATGTAGCCTTACAACTCTACTGTTCGTATAACAAAGCCAAACTGTTCAGATTCCAAGTCTCCAACCCTCATTTATTTTTTAGACTGCACAATTCTAAACACTTCAATCACAGTAGTGTGTATACAGATTGAAAATATCACAAATCTTTCCATTTTAATCTCATGCAGTGAAGAAATACTGATTAACATGCTGGTACATGTATCTTATTTGGGTTTACAATTGCTATGAGTTTTTTTTTTGACTCAGTGCCACAAAGCAAATGCTGTCTTGGATATTACAATCAAATATGGTCAAATATGGTATAACCATTACAGTTACTGTTACAGTATACAAAAGAAACACCAAAGGAAGAAAGTCTGAACTGTCAATTTTGAATTCTCCCAAATAAGCATTAATTTTGTTATATTACAAAGGGAGGTTTCAAAGATACCCCACCTACCAAATAAGGAGTAGATTAAAGACTTGAAGGCACTTGAAAGGGAAAACTTTTGTCCCTTTACATGTATCTGTACTTCCTGATACAGTGGTCCTTAGCATCAGCTACAAACACATGTCCATCCTCTGTCACAGCCACCCCACAGGGAACCTTCAGTTTGTCCCCATCACTGCTAATGGTGGACACCCAGGTGCCGTCTGGGCGGAACACCTGAAGCTTCTTGCCATGTTCTACACCACCTACATCAGATTTCTCTCCAATGTTTGCCAGAACTATGTTCCCTCTGCTGTCAGCTGTCACCCCCATTGGGCCAAACATGTCATGTGGCTGTCTGCCCTTCTGACCAAACTTGTGTCTGAAGTCCAGATTCCTGTCAAACACCTGAACACGGTGGTTGAGTTTATCTGACACAATGATATTATCTTCTTTATCCACACAGACAAAACCTGGTGTGTCAAACTTTCTCCTCTTCCCCTGCCCTCCCACCTGTTTCACCATTGTCCCATTTGCCTCAAACAGAAAGACACAGTGTTTGACATTGTCAGCTACCACAACCCTCCCATTCCTCTGTACTGCCAAGCCATAGGGTTTTGTGCAATGTTCACGCAGAGGAAATTCGTTCTTCAGTTCTCCTGATGGTGAAAACCTCATCACTGATTCTGTCCCACATCTGACCACTATGGTGCCATCAGACTGAACTGCAACTGATCCAGGTTTCGTAGATGTTGGAAGTAAAAAGCAAAAGTTCCCCACCAGATCAAACACCTGAACACGATTGTTTTCATAATCAGCCACATACAGCCTGTCTCCACTGACTGCTACACCTATAGGAGTGTCAAACTGCCCCTGCTGGCTTCCTTTCTGCCCAAATTTCAGTACAGGGTTGTTACTGAAAACATCAAAAGTGATACTGGACTCTACGATTCTTGGCCACTGTGTTGTATTTCTTGAGCCTATACCGATCCCCACCTGATGCTTCCCTGATGTTTGTGGTCTCCAGACTGCCTCAAACACCCCCTCACTGATTCTGGTAGTGTCTAAAATAATACGTCGTTTCTCTTCAAGCTGACTGACTGTTAACATCATTTTGGTATCTGGCTCCCCTTGGATGACTGTGAGTTGCATTACTGTTTCCTCATTATGAAACACGGATGGGAAACTATCAGCCATATTGACAATGAAGTTAGTTGGCAGGCATTCTACAGGGAGCTCTGTAACTTTAATGCTTGTATTGCGGCTTTCAAGGATCCCTGGACTTAGACGTAGGGGCTCCTGTTCTACAATCCCTGGACTATACATATTACCAGGAAGTGTGTTCATAGCTTGTGGAGTTGTAAACGTTATCTCTTGATTGACTGGCAAGTCTGTGAGTGATATCTCTTGTGTTTTTAAGTGGTTTAGGTTGTACTCTAGCTGCTCCCTGAGTGTGAGAACTTCCACGTCACTGCTTCCAGCAAGCATTTCTCTACAGAACTTGAGTCTCTCTTCAGTAGGTTTTGAAGTCTCTTCAAAATCCTTTCTTTTTTCTGAAAGTGATGTTTGTTGTTCCTCTTCCATCTCCTTCAGTCTGGAAGTCAAGTCCTTCTCTTCCCTGTCCAGTTGAGCTCTCAGCTGTGCGAAATGTTCCTGGATCTTCTTCTTCTGTAGTTCACTGTTAGTTCTGATGCTGGTCGCTTCGATTCTGAGAAGGTAATCTGTTGCCTTCAGTTTGTTCTGTGTTTTCCCTACTAATGTCTGCAGTTCGTCCCTGCACGCCTGTGCCACCTTACTGACTTCCTGTGGGTCATGTTCCGGTCCAGGTTGGTGCTCGGTTTTGATGCAGTTGTGGCACACTAGTTTCTCACAAGGTCGGCAGTAGAACGTCAGGCGTTGGTCAGTATGCTGAGAGCAGTACTCTGTAGGGGCGTTGAGTAGGGTGATATTGTGGTTCTTCAGTGCAGGGGCTTTGCTGTGTGCTGTTAAGCAGTTTTTACAAAGGAAATAATTGCAGTTCCTACACAAGCCTGCAATCCTTGCCTCGGATTCACACATCTGACACTGGGAGTGAGCTTCTTTGATCTCTTTTGATTTTGAGGCCCTAAAGTCCAGTAAGTTCTTCTTGTAGAAATCCAGAGGAAGACTACTGACACCTGTTTCTTGTAGTGTCACCTGATACCGACAAGTAGGACAGGTGAACTGGCTTTTACCCTTGCACCATCGTTTGAGACACCTGGCGCAAAAGGTGTGGTGGCACGGCAGGATTCGGGGGTCGTCAAAGATGTTTTGGCAGATGTCGCAAGTCAGGAACTTGTCGTCAAAATCTTCTGGTGGAAAATCTGCTGCTGCAGCTGCTCCAAGTGGCACTGTCTCTCCATAGCCTTGGGGGGGGGGAACAGATTAAAGAATTTTCTTTACATGTATGCAGCCTTTTGATGCATTATGATAAGGGCAGAGGCACAGGCATGGTATAACTGAGGGATTGCATCTCCTTTTTCTTTAATTTGTGACTTTAAGTCAGCCCCTTCACATATGAGGGAGATGAAATGTCTGTTACACAGCACACTTGTCAAAAAAGAGTGTGTTTGACCCGTATTGTTGGCTTGAAAAGTGAGCAGTAGCAAACTTTAAGCTGCATTGCACTACCATCTAGTGAAAGAGCGTTTATCAATTATTTCTGCTTCGTGTCGTAAAGTTCAACCTAAGGAGATTATAATTTATAGTCACATCAATACTTAAGATACTCAATTATACCTAATACATTTTAATTTATTATAATTTTATATGTTACATTACAAAGCAGTGACGGTAAAAATGAAATATACCTTCAACAGAGACTGTAATCTCACCCTCCCCATCTTCAGCCTCTGGCAGGAGTTTTTTGGACATCGTTGGTACATCTACATCATTTGTGCAGAGGGCAGGTTTGCTGGAAGTAACCTCTGGTAGTTCCTCAGCTGAAAGATTCTTGTGACCTACATTAATACAAAACAAGAATTTCTAGAACTCATACCACTGTGAAATATTAAGAGTTTCTTGTATATGCCTTGTTTATTGATTTATATATATATGCAGATAATGCCCATTGTACTTCTGTCAGAGTCACTCTAGAAAGGCCGACATTTGCTTTAGAGCAAATTCAGCATGACTTCACCACATTTCACGACATGGCAGGGAAAGAAGGAGAAATACAAGGGAAAACAATTCTTTGCATTGATATAACTATAGTATGAAGTGACAACAGTTGGATAGCTATCCCTTACATTATTGGTTGGGATTTTTAATTGCATAATGCAAACTGTTGATTTTTAAGATAAAAAGAATTGTTTATGCCCCGCATTCCAATGCTGGAGCAGGAAAGCTTGACATACCTACCAAAACACTTCATACTGTTCATACTGTCAATATGGCATGGCTTTGTACAGGTGTTAATTGAGTTAACCCAATCAGATCCGAACAGCCAATCAGCAAAGAGAATAGAGGAAAGCTGCATTCCTATTGGTTGCCTGCTCTACATGCCATTCTGATGACTCATGCCCAAATATGGTAACACACTGCTATAGTAGGGTTGATAAAGGTTAGACATCCACTGACTCAGAGGTATCATACACAAGAAAACAGTTATTCAAGTAAAAGGATAGATTTGAAAACTGTCCAATGCAGTTGCTTGAGTGACAGTGAATCAGGTGTTGATATTTCCTGTCACTCTTATCTACAGTTAAACCATCCCCCCACCTGCTACATGTAATTATGGACATACAAACAAACACAGAAACAAGCAAGGAAAAGCTCTGTACATGGCACTAGCTTTATTTGATATAAATCATTATTTGGATTCAACATACTTATAAAGATACAGTCAAACCTGTCCAAGCCAGCCACCCAGGGGGCCAAAGAAAAGTGACAGGTGGTCTCCTCACAACATGACTGAGGCATAAATGGTTTCCAAGTTAAGATGTTCTAATGTCAAATGCTGTAAATGCATGTGGGGAGGGTGGCACATGAAACAATTCAACTCGAACAAAAACATCGTCCAGCAGTCAAGGAAAACTGGCTGGTTTCTCCATGATTTCTCATTAGTTATAATCAATATGAAAAAAATGATGTGGTCACCATGGGCAGGTATCAGGTCTTGAGCGGACCCAACTCAGGGCAGTCACGTTGGCCAGGTGGTCACCTTGGACAGAATGCTTGTGTCAATGGGGAAAATTTTTGGGATCAAGAAAAAGTGGTCACCATAGACAGGTGGCCTGCTTGGCAGGTTTGACTGTAGTTCTAAAATTTAATAACTGATGTAACGGTGGTCTCCAGATTATGAGTGTACTACATGTAGCTACTGCAAAGTACTAATCAGAAGTATTGTCAATCAAATTTGCAATCAATCACATTCCTGGTAACTCAAAGAACTTTTATTAATGTCCTAAGAACCTGAGGCAAAGTCTTCCACATGTTGGTCATCAGGCTGTTTTGTAGGTCCACCTTCAGTTGACTCGGGTTGGTTTTGCTTAGATGCTGCCATTGCTTCATCTGGACTTGCTGGAATTTCCACCACCACTACATCCTCGTGGTCTAGTGTGATGAAATACACAATTTATGTATGGTAATAATATGCTGGAGCTAGAACTAAATTAATAAAATAAATATGCTCTTAAATTGATGTATATTATTTAATATCAATATCACTTACTAGTAGCACAATGCCATGCTGTTCCCACCTATTACATAAATTGATACTGACAGATGAAAATAATATAGATTGCACAGCAATCATAATTAGGAAGAAAAAAACAATCCTTCCTACCTTAGTTATAAATTGTACAAAATGTAATATGCATGATTAGGCCACACCAATTTAATTTCTTGGTTAACGGATACGCCCGCTTCATTTTTTTCTGATTTGCAAATAAAAATAAAAATTCAGAATCAACTGCAAAATGCTCATATTTTGCCCTGAACAGTTGAAAACAGTCCTTTTCATCCTAGTTGTTACAGTTATTCCATCTTTCAATGCAGTGGTATCATTAAAAGTTCAAAATTCATTGTTTAAATTTTGAACCAGCCTGGTGTGTTGACTTCATGGCTCCTATCGTACCATTTTGGGCCATAATAGGATGCCTAGGTCTGTTTTTATTTTTTTTTCGCCCGCCCGCTCCATTATTTTTCTAGAAAAATCCATTAACCAAGAAATTAAATTGGTGTGGCCTTATACTTGGTTTTAGTGAAAGAGGCTGCTGTTAGGATAGACACATTGCTATATGTACAATGTACATGTATAGTCACAGGTCGTTGTTGTAAAACATGTTGTATGGGGTATAAGGAAACATAACTCACCACTTGAAGCCACAGCCCCCTGCAGTTCCTGGACCATACCCTGTGAAGGGTTCCTGATGCCGATGGCCAGGTTCATGTTCACCGCCCTCCCCTCACCCGCGAACTCCGGCAGGAACGTCTCCAGGAGAACCTGAAATGTCCGGGAAGATTAGCCAATCACAAAATTAATGTTGTGATGTAAGCTAAGGCCACACCAATTTAATTTGTTGTTTCTCAGATTTTTTCAGAAAAAATATGAAGCGACAGGGCGAAATAAGAAAAAAAACAGGCCAAGGCACCCCATGAAGGCCGGAAATGTTACGATATGAGCCATGAAGTGAACATATCAGGCTGGTTTATAATTAAAACAATAGATTTTGAACTTTTAATGAAACAAAGTTGCATTGTTACATTGTCATTGAAAAAACTTTAAGAACTAGGAAGAAAAGGACTTTCTTCAACCACTGGAGCCAAAATATGTCTTTTATTGAGCATTTTGCAGCTGATTTAGAACCTAAAAAATGCACAGAGCGAATCCGAGAAACAACAATTTAAAGGCCTAACGGACATATAAAGTCACATAATCTGAAGTCTACCTGCTGGAAGGTCCCATCTCTGGCCATGCGCAGGAGCTGGAGCCGGTCTGCTTCTGTAGGAACCTCCAGCTCCAGCAAGATGCACCCTTTTGTGGCACTTCTTATCCTGCACGTCACGCTGTATGTCGCGGCCATTTTCTTAGCAAACTGCTCGAGAACATCCGCACGACTTAGCTTCTCTCTGATGTCATCTGCTGTCTTTGGGTCAATGTCAAGTTCGCAGCAGGCTTTCACAAAAGCTGGGGAAAAATCAGAAGATTTTGATGAAATTCTGCAAAATGTGCAAAGGGCGTTAGCCTGGAGTCCATGACACAATCAAGTCATTTCATTTTGTCCTATGCCAAAGTCAAATTTTTTATTTGATGACCCTCCCCCACCGCCTGTTGAACAAATTAAATACACCTAGTCCAGGCATACTGTCTAAAGTACATGTACATGTGTACACAAAGTACAGATTTCATTCTATGATTAAAAACAACACCTGCTAAATGTAGTTAGAAACCATGTGCTAGGTGACATTGACAATAGTTAAGGTTTGAAAAAAATCAAATACTGCTTACCATCTTCTTGGGGTGTCACTTTCTCTATCTTCATGCAGTTGTTGTCCCCAATCTGCACATACTTGCAGTTTTCTATCTGCACATTGCGGTACACGAGAACTTTTCCAGGACTTGGAGCACTTGCAGACTGTGTGAGGCTTGCTGTGGCACCAAGCCTTGCTGAATCTTGACTCTCATCTGTTGGGGCTGAGCTTATGATGTTGTTGTTGCCCACCTAATGATAATAAAATGATTTTTATTAAATTTTTTTAAAAAGTTGATACAGACTGATAGGGGCCTATCGTATCTAGTTACCTCCGGGGGAGGAGATATCCTTCCGTGGAAGGGTTTTGTGAGAGATTTAGATTTTCATGTTCGCAGCTGTTTCTCGCGTTTGGGTGAACGGACTCTTTTGAGACTTGGTATATGTTTAAGCAATGCTATTGGGCTGCAGATGATGCACGTTCTTTTGTTTTTATTGTATAATATGTGTTTTCGGGAAAATGGTGCCTTTTGGTGTCCCCAGAACACCCCTTTGAGCATGAAAGTGGTCGCGACCTTTGGCGTGTATTAGGTATTGTCGGTCTCGTCCACGAAGGTGACCCCTCGCACAGAGGGGTGTCCGGTCTCATTAAATTCTATGTTTAAAACCGTAGTCCTGTGGCGCGCAACAATTGTTGTTGTACAAACTGTAAACAACAATACTATTATAAAAATATACAATAAAAAGCCTGGAGGTGTAAAATCTCAGACTTTACTTGTTTTAATCTAGTTTTAACCCTATGGGTTAAGGTTAGTATCAGGCATGGTTAAAGCTTTTTGGTTCTGAATACAACAGGGCCCTGAATTAATCTGCCCTTGCAATTGTCCCCTCCAATATCATTAATTTATCTAATTCTAAAAGCTTCAATAAAAAGAAGTGCATATTTCCAGGGATTTTACTGTGGACCATTTATCTTGCATTGAAAAGTTGTGACATTGGTCATAGAATTACTTTGTCAAAAAAAAAAAAAAATGTAACGGCTCTTGGTCGCAAATGTGCTGATGCTGTCACATCGGCGCACCAAATCCGTAAGATGTTTTTGGCACCCAGTAAGGCAATTAGCCTGTGAGGCTTGGTGGGCGTCACTCCACCGTACATGGTAGGGAAGTCGTGTAAAGTGCCTTTCCCAAGGGCACAACGTCGGGCCACGGTGAGTATCGAACCCGGGACCTCTCGATTCTGAGTCCAACGCTCTAACTGTTGCGCCACCGACGCCTTTGTCATAACATCAATTTAAACATACCTGCACTGCTGGTACATTCTTCACTTGAATGTCCTCATGAATGATGACCTGGTCTGGGTTCTGGTCCAAAAGAGCAGCCTCTGGGGTGCCTGTACTTTGAGACTCTGACTCAGGTTTGGTACTTAAGTTTTCGACTGTTGTCTCTGTTACAGTACATGTAGTACTTGCGCATGTAGTTGTCCCTTTGTCAGTATTCTCTGCAATTTTACTCGAGAGGCATACTATTGGCGATGGTCCCTCTCGATACATGTCAGGAACGATAGGTCCATTGTTGTTGCTGTTGCCTTCCCCAAGACGTGTACCTGATGTGTTGATTTTGTCTTCATCTGGCTCCATTTCTTCTTCCTCTTTGTTGTCACAACAGTCCTCAGAATTGTGGTACTTTATGGTGGAGTCACGTTCATCGTAGGTTGTCGCACAATTTTCATGTCATAGAGTTTTCAAGCAGTCCAGGGATCTAAGGCAACCTTTTCCATAAAAAGTCAACTGAATTTTACAGGACGCATGCAAGGCTATTCTAAGAATGCCCCGACAGTTTTCAATCGTATAACAATCGCACAATGTACGTGCCAGAGCCTTAACATCATATCATAAAGTAGGCTACTAGTAGTGTTTCAAAATGGAGGCATGGAATGTACCTGCTTTGGTCCCTGCACAATTTTTGCTGGATCTGCGACACATGACCAGCTCTGATTGGTTCTGAGACAGCTTTTGCACACAGTTTATTTGATGACTGAGGCAATGTGTGCAGGACTTTGTACCCAGCCACATGGCAAGACCATGAGACACGCACCTGGTGAGCTCATAGCTATAGGTACAGGGCAAAGGTCAGGCTTTGGGTAATGTTGGAGCTGTAAACGTCATTATGCCATACCTGGGCCCTGACAACATTCAGTATGGGTGATCCAGCCCGTGTGATACTAACTGAGCAGTATAGCCTGGGATGCTATTAGTTACTAGTATCACACTAGCTTACAAATGTTCCATCGTCCGATACCCCCATGTAGACCCTCACATTTGGCCCCACCCCTGCTAGCCAAAATGGGATCCTTCCTAGGGCTGGAAAAATAGTATCGGTGCGGTCCGAAAAAAACGAAACGTCGGTGGAGACCGGAACAAAACTTCATACTTGATCACTATACACAAGGAGGCCTGCCAGGAAAATGAACATCCAGCGTTAAAATAAAGAGATTTACCTAAGTAGTTTCCGTCTCTGAGAACTAGTGAGAAGTGAGATAGGAAACCTAGTTATATCAATCCATGGTTATATTGAAAGATACAGGACAAATTGTCAACACTTTATTCATGTTTCTGTCATTATTGAAGAATTTCAGTAGAACATGTGACGCGCGTGAATTTTCAGGTACAGGTACAGGTCCGGACCTGGACCTAAACCTCTGTACCTGTACCTGTACTTGTACCTGATGTTACGAAAAGGTACGCAGCCCTAATCGATGGATAGTATGATTTAAGTGTGTTTCACCTGAACTGCGTGTGCCACTTTCAAATACAAGATTCGGACATCGAATGCATGCTGTTGCATTACATTTTTTAAAATAAAGGCAACACTGACTTAACGGTGCACACCCCAGTTCTTCCGCGACCGGGGTCCGTGATAGTCCGTTGTAAAAAAGTGACGAAAGGGTTTTGAGGGTCCAAGTTCGAGGTGACATTTCTTTTAAACTGCCACGAAGTATCATTAAACATTAACATGGCTGAAGAGTGTAAGAAATGGTGATTTTGGGGTGAAAATTTCTTTTGGCTCCGAACCTTACTTCCGGGTATCCTTGCGCGCCAAGTGTAATCCGCCCGTTTGACCTAGTTTTCGCTCTGTGGCTTCGTAGGGGTGGATTTGCAACCCCTCGCGCCGTGGACTGTTTAGAAAATTACAGTACTAGAATTTTCTTTATAATTTACTCGGGTATAGTCAAGGCTTGGGTCTTTCTGCCAGCATCAGTCATTTCTGCCGGAAAATTTTTTTTTGTGGGATTATCCTACGCGAAAATTCGCAATTTTGGGCATTAATTTTGGAGTGAAAATAATGTTTTTTCCGTTGATTTTACCAAACTTTAAAAGGTTGAAGAAACCAAACTCAGCTTGTCTTGTAGCTGAAGAGATACCCTTTCGTCCCATATACAGTTATTCTCCTTCCGAATTATTCCACGCCAGAGACGGTCGCTAGATTTGAGGGTGTGCAGCTTCGAAAAGAGGCCCCAAATAAACTGGGGTGTGCCCCCTTAATCTTTGATATGGATAACATCTGGGCGCACATTGATTTTCACTTGTTCTCACAAAAAAAAAAGATCACGTCCACCGAGGCCTGGGTAGTTAGCGACAATACGGAGCCGGGCACCCAGGCTACCGAAGCTCCACAACTCAGTATGTACTGTGCTGATTCATAAATTCCGCTAAAAAACAGCATGTGCTGGCTTGTCGTGTACAGCGCTATGTAATACGGCAGCTTTGTATTCCCAAGAAGTGATAACAGGCCACGAGACATCTGATGATGATCTTTCTATTTGTAACACCAAAAAGCAAACCTTACAGCAGGGATGAGACTCCCTGAATTGCAAAGAGTTTGCGTACAAAAATTACAAATTACAACAGACAAGACTAGGCAATATACATGTACATGTACCTGTACAATTCCTAATGAACCAGCTAACAGGTACAGGGGCAAGGTCCTGAGGCTTGGGTAATGGGGAAGTTGTAAACATAATTATCATAAATTAAATGTAAACAAATGGTGAGTGAACCAAGTACTAATCAAATCTGTCCTAGTGGCCACCTCTTCAAGCCAGCTACATGTACCTGGCCATTTCTTATCTAGGCACAAGCATTAAGCAACCAAAGACATCCTATCATAGCCCCAAATGGCATGATAGGAGCCATGAAGTCAACATACCAGGCTAGTTTGTAATTCAAACGTTAAATTTCAAACCTTTAATCAAACCACTGCATTGATAGATGTACTCTGTAAAACTGTAACAACCATGTAAGGAAGGAACCTCCTTTAACTTTTGGGACCAAAATGTTAGGTGTAACAAGTTGTTCAGTGTAATGTAGCCAGCTGCTGCCACGCTGCGTGCCTGTGAAGCTGGTGTGTTAATTGCCAAAGGGCGATCATACCGGCTATACAGATACAGAATGGTACAGAATACATTGAAAACCCCAAAAAATCCTTTAAACCCACTGTGAGTTTTAGTTGTCACCACACAAACACAAGAAGGATATCTCCTTCCCCGGAGGTAAAGATATGCCATTGGGTAATGTAAGCTTACAGCCTTTCTGTATTTACTTTGTCACCAGTTTTAATACAGTATAAACTGTTCCTTGCATCACAGGTCCATGCCCAGCTTGGCATCAGGAGAAGGGAGGCCAACCTCTCACGACACCCAGGCTGCCGTACAGGTAGGGTTTGTACATGTGTTAGGTGTTTTCAGAAAGTGTTTCTTGAATTGACTCTTCATCCAGTCGCTCATCCCGTTACCATCTAATACATGTTGACAATGTCCTCGTTTTGTTTTTGTTTACAACGTAGTTAGTGTTGTGTTGTCTTTCCATAGCATTGACTGCTTCATCTGTATCATCCCTATCTCTTGTTTTGAAAACTTGTAGAAAATATTACTGAAAACTCTATATAATTGTAACTCACTAGTCTTTTCATGGAAAACAGATTATGATTGTGCAGATTATGTTTACAATTATTGACTTTTTTGTTTCTTCAATTCTGCAGTTTTTCCATTGTCGCATGCTCTAACATTCTAATAATGCCTGCACGGTTGTTCCCTTAGAGTCCAACCGACTTCAGCTTGAATAACAACCGTAGACACAAAACCCTGAAACTCAAGTATGATGTGAGTGCCCTCTCCATTCAGATAAGGCCATGTTGATTTGATTATATGGATGACATCAACACGCGAATGAATTTTCGGGCGTTTCCCCCCAAAAAAGTTTTCAACCATACTGTAAATTGTACAAAACAGTTGCAAAATAAGAAAATATATAAAGTTGCAAAAAAAAAAAAAATGGAAAATGATACCAATGTCGTAGAATACCAAAATCAAATGAAACAGATGAAAATGTGATTTAAAGGAAATTGATTTGCAGATTAGATTATTTGTCATACCATACTCTGTGTCATTTGTTCAACCTTCATGACCACGTAGATTTCATGTTGAAAGCAACTCTTTTTTGTCAAACTTGTTTTTATTCGCACGCTCGCATCAGTTTTGGAGTTCCCAAAGGATGTCATTCATATAATCAAATCAACATAGCCTAACTAAGACCAGATTTACATGTGGGCAAAAACCTGGCGATACAAAAAAATGCATACACATGCGAGCATGTGAAAACTGCATACGTCAAATTTTTCCTGCACGGGTGTATGCCAAGAACGTACGTACGTTTAGATTGTACAGCCCTCAAGGTATGTTGTTACTGTAATGTAGGTCCGATTTACACGCAGGAAAAATTTGACGTATGCAGTTTTTAGATCCTTGCTTGCATGCATACGCAGATTTTGTACCGTCAGGTTTTTCCCCATGTGTAAATCAGGTCTCAGTGGACAAGTTTAAGCTATAGCCTTACCGCGATTATTTGCAGCTGCTGTATGATGACAGATGGTGGGTGGAGGTACCAGTTTGTCACAAGAATGTGGATTAAGATATTAGATATTTTTGATATTAGAATATTTGCCGAACTCCTACTAGTATATAGACAGCTGATACAAAATGTATTTTTTAGGTTGACATCTATATTATAATAGTAAAATGCTGGATTCTTAATAATATTCGGAAACAATGCTACAATTTTTTTATAATGATTCCAACCAAGATTGACTACCTTTCTGTTTTTCACACCTCTGAAATATGTGATGTAAACTGTATAGATGTTGATGTCATAGACATAATATTTTCACTAAGTCTTGATTAGCAATATAAGAGTAGGAAATCTTGTTTGCACAAAATTTCGTTGTACTCTGTGACTATATTTTTGTGAACATACATGTACCATGGTACAAGATGTCTGAATGGACCTATAACATTATTATGTCACAGTTTGTTTACCACAATGACTGCCGGTCAATCCACGTTTCTATTGTACAGGGGTGCGTAGCACGGTGTGTGTTTGAGTAGCGTTAGCCTAGTATAAGGCTTTTAATACAGTACTACTTTCGTCTAATGTCACAACTAAATCACCCATGCGGCATGTAATGCTGTGTCAACACAACTAGACGCAGCAAAAATCAGACATACCTTACTTTGAAAACTTTGAAATGATCTTTATTCTTTAACTGACCGTTCTAGAATGTTCTTTAGAACAGGTAAACAAACTGTGACGTAATAATGGTATAGGTCCATTACACTTCTACTAACCATTTAAACTAACGAGCTTAGTAGTTCAGGACTAATTTAAAGTTTGTACATTGCATTTCACAGGCCATCCTGAACAGACCAGTGGACCTGGATGTCACCAAGATTAAGGACCCCATCAAAATAACCATACCTCGCTTTGTCTCACGAGGGTATGGGAAGGAGGAGCACTTCGAGTTTGAAGTTAAGGTTCGTTTGGCTTCAAGTTGTTTTAAGGCCACGCCAATTTGATTTGTTGTTTCTCAGATTTTTTCAGAAGAAATATGAAGCGACAGGGCAAAATAAAGCCAAGCACCTTATGATGATAGCCAGAAATGTTACGATATGAGCCATGAAGTACCAGGCTGGTTTATAATTAAAACAATAAAGTTTGAACTTTTAATGAAACGAAGTTGGATTGTTACATTGAAAAACTTTAAAACTAGGAAGAAAAGGACTGTCAATCAAACCTTACAGTCTGGTCTTACACAGCTTGTACATGTACATGTATACCTACTGTAGCTATTACATGTACACCTGTACAAAAAAATGTAGTTTAGCATAATAAACTGATTGACTTTTTTCATATTGAAAACTGTTTGTGTAAGAACATGAATCTGAAAAAAAGGAAGAATCTTTTTCTAGGTAAGAAGAATTTTTATCTTGAGAAAAGAAAGATATTCTAGGTGTGAGATGAAGTAAGAAGCTATTTCTACCCGATAAGAATGTAGTGTTCTTGGGGTAAGCACAAAAATCTTAAAAGAATAATAAGTTCCAGGCTAAAAGAATTTTGGCTTGTATTGAGAACTGTCTTTGTATAGGTGTACTTATAAAGTTATATGAACGGTTGTCTGCATTATGAACATGCAGAGAAAAAAAATCTTTCTGTAAAAAGGAGATTCTGGAGGTACAAATGTAAGGCCACACCAATTTAATTTCTTGGTTAACGGATTTGCCCGCTTCATTTTTTTCTGATTTGCAAATAAAAATAAAAATTCAGAATCAACTGCAAAATGCTCATATTTTGCCCTGAACAGTTGAAAACAGTCCCTTTTCATCCTAGTTGTTACAGTTATTTCATCTTACTTTCAATGCTATGGTATCATTAAAAGTTCAAAATTCATTGTTTAAATTTTGAACCAGCCAGGTGTGTTGACTTCATGGCTCCTATCGTTCCATTTTGGGCCATAACAGGATGCCTAGGCCTGTTTTTATTTTATTTTTTTTTGCCCGCCCGCTCCATTATTTTTCTAGAAAAATCCATTAACCAACGAAGAAATTAAATTGGTGTGGCTTAACCAATGTTTACAAAAAATGTACTATATAGAAACCAGACTAAGAAAGATAGTCTTACTGTAAGAAAAAGTTCGATAAGAAAAAATTGCTTAATATTTGCATGCAGAAAAACTTGAAAAAATTGCTTAATATTTGCATGCAGAAAAACTTACTTACAGGAAAAATATTTTCTGCGTGGAAGATAGAACAAGACTACAACGTCATACAATGTCATTTTTGGTAGTGTATAGAACAACTGTTTCTAGTTGAATTCTAACATGCCTGTGACTTGTGGCCACCTGCAGACAGATGTGCTGGGTGAAGTGTGGACCATCTTCAGGAGATACAGCAAATTCAGGGAGCTACACGACATGATGAAGGGCAAATATCCAGAGGTGTGTTACTATGCCTTACTGTACACTCAAAATTCATTTTTGGGAATAGGTGCACTGGTGCACCCAACCTAAAAATTTGGGTGCACAAGTTTTTTGGGGGTGCACCATATAAAATAAAATTGGTAGAATGTCAGAAAAAACTAATTATTATATGTTTCATTTCTAAAGATTTTGTTATTTTTCTGACACTTAAAATAATAAGAATATTCTCAATACTACTCTAAATTTTAACATCTTGACATATGTAAACCTATGAAAATATTTGGGTGCACAAAAAAAAGGGTGCACAGCTCCAAATTTGGGTGCACTAAGGTGCACATGCACCCAGTATTTATAAATACTGGGTGTATTTATAAATACTGGGTGCATGTGCATGTGCACCTATAGAGCCCTGATGTACATGTATGTGCATGATGAGGTATTTTCAGTTGTGTGTAGTGTACATACATGAGGTTGTTGACCCTGTCTGTGGACTTTATCTGGACCTGGACAAAGAAGTTATGAGTTCGAATCCCACATGTCACACCTGACACGCATGCTGCTAAACAGGGTTGCAGTCCTTAGGCCTAGGAAAAAATGTTGTGCTTCCAGTTTCCCGACCGACCCTATAAAAAACCTGCCAACCCTAAACCTTTTTTTGGGTCAACAGCTACAAAATGTAGCAAGGCCAAAAATTTTTCCATCTGCCAATGGAGCGTCAAACCATCAGAAATGTTATTTCACAAATTTTTAACAAGTAAATTGGGTGAAATATTGTCTATTTGTCCTCCCTTCTCTAGCCTGGGTACCATCTGGATTTTCGCTCCGCAACGCTCAAAGAAATGTGATTTTTTTTTTTTGTTCGAGCATTGCGGAGCAAAAATCTGGATGGTACTCAGGCTATCTCTTCTCCACAAGCAAATGGAGGCCAGGAGACAGGCCTGGTCCTGATGCATTTCAATATTACATTGATTTATTAAACTGTATTTGTTGGAACATTTCAGCTGAAATGTGAAAAATAAAAAGAGAATCCTTTGTCACTTATACAGCTTTTTTTCCTCTAGTCTAGGCGTTAAAATAGAACATTAAACATTGTCCACTGTAACTGTAACAGTTGTGTCTGTTTAGGTTGAAGAAGTACAATTGACAATGTCATGTGAAGTAGCAGTAGTGTCATGTTCGCATTCTGAACTCTTCCCTTTCTTTTTATTCCACAGGTTAATGCTCTAGAATTCCCTCCAAAGAAGCTTTTTGGCAACAAATCTCAGAAACTGGCAGAAGAGAGAAGGGTGCAATTAGAGGTAGGTAAATACCAACATGGTAAAAGATGGTCAAATACAATACTGTAAATGTTATGTTCTTTTCCTTTAATGTTGTTTGGTGCAATTCACATGCACTGTGTTCTAAACAAGTCCAGCCCAGATGTACTCAGAGCTCTGTTATGTGTGTGGTTATGTGGTGCAACAGCAGAGTACTGGACTCGGAACCAAGAGGTCACGGGTTCGAGTCCTGACATGCTACCAATCTTGTGCCCTTGGGAAAGGCACTTCATACAACTTTTCCCACTTAACTCAAGTGGAAATAAGTATTTCCTGTCCTGTATTAATTTTGTTTCTATGTGTGGGACACAACACCAGCAACAGCTGCCTGTGTCCTGAGTATAATTGCGCTGTTGCAATTTCAACTAGCAAAGCAAATGCATCATGTTTACCTTTGGATATGGTCTGCTCTGTTAATTCTTACTCAAATACATTCACATGCATGTACATGTATATGGTTACAGGAGCCTAAAAGCCTACTATGAAATTGCAACATTGTATGTAACCCAACACCAGTTACTATGGTGACAGATGTCAACAAAAGAGGCAATTGGCCAGGTCATGAGAGGTTAGTGTTTGGAACAGAAGAAGAAGAAGAGGAAGAAGAAATGTAAAAAGAAGAAATCAAATCAAGAGTTCTGTTCTCTCTCCCAGGCATACCTGAACAACTTCATTGCTGTGTGCCTCCGGAACAAAGCCAGTCCACTCTACCCACGGAAAGACAAGCCCTTCTCCAAGCGAACCCTCTGTGACTTTGCGCCGTTCTTCAGAAAGGGCATCTTCGAGTCCTCGGTGTATCAAGTTGTATAGGGGAGCATTTCTGATAAATGGTTTGAACTGCAGGTGTGTGAGGTCAGGGGTGACAGTCCCAAGTTGTAAAAGTCTTTTGTCTGGACCATGTCTAGATGACTGTGTTTTGTTTATGTCTCAGGGGCCTTCATCATTGATAAAAATACCCACAATACAGCACACTGCACATGCGCAGTTTAAACTGTGAACCACTTTATTCCAGCTTCAGATTTGTGGTACACGTACGGTCAAAATTGTCCAGGAAGGTCACTTATTATGTCTTCTTAGTCAAAGAAGGAGAAAAAAAATACTGCAGCAAAATTTCCACCCATGTGTAGACTGTAGACTGCAACATTGACCCAAATAAAAGTGACCCAGTCTATGCCATTTTACATTGTGCAAAGACCGCCATGCTGTCGTTGAAATCAATGGCATACTGGCCGATTCCAGCAACATTTCTTGCTAGGTATCATCCCAATATCCGCCGCTGGTTTGAATATGAAGCGGTTTAATTCATGTCAGCAAGTAACAAAGCTTACGTCTATGGGGAAAAAATCAGAACCGAGAAAAAGCGGTTGTTATGGCCAGATGGCTGGCTTATAGATGTGGTTATTTGGGTGTTTGACTGTACTTGGGAAACGAACAACTCACACAGCCAAGAGAGGTTCGATTTTGCTTGCTTGCACACTGATAATTGCAATCCATGTTACAGACTGAAGAAACAGGAACTCAAAGACTCAACATTTGTTTGTTACTTTTCTACATTGCCTTAATTTTAAGGGCACTCAAGCAGAAATATCAGAAGGAGGATTATGCTGTGTGTGGTGTAGCACCAACTCTCTTTGTCATCAGCAAACAGCATCAAAATAGCTTTCTTTTTTCTCTTGCAAAACAAAACAAAATTGTATACAAGTGTACAGATGAAAGCCTTTCTACTACAAAAGCATCAAATTCGCTCTGCATTTACACCACTGTAAAGTTGTATTTTCTATGGTCTGTATAGGTTTGATCTAATGTCTACATTGTACAATATACAGTTACTGTACCTCTATACATTACTGTTACGCTTATACACTTACTTGTACTTGTACTAGATATAGGAAAATATGCATACACCACTTCAAAGTGCCTTGGACTACAGCAATACAGGGATATAACTTGATGTGTTTTTTGAGGATTATCTGGGCTATTTGGATGTAAAACTTTGTTTGACACATATTCAGGAAGGGCCAGATCTCTACTGGACACCTCTGAATGAGTCAATGCTACATGACAAGATTGTACAAATGTAAAATTAAAACATGTATGGATGTAAATAGTTTTAATTGGCCAACATCTGGGTAACAAGATGTACACCAATTATTTATTGAGAAGAACTATCTACAAAGTGTCACATGCCTAAATGAATATATTTTGTATTCATGATAATGTGTTAAAATGAGCATTGATAGCTCATTGTTTGATTAGTATTGAGGCCATGTTGATTTGATTATATGGATGACATCCTCTGGGAACCCCAAAACTGAAGCGAGCGTGCAAATAAAAAAAAAGTTTGGCAAAAGAAAAAGTTGCTTTCATTATGAAATCTAGGTGGTCATGAAGGTTGAACAAATGACTAAACACACAGAGTAATATTTTATTGGCATGGTGAATAATAGACTCTTTCATTCCTTCACATTTTCTTCTTGTCCTTCAGAATGGATTTTGGCATTCTGCAATATAAGTATCATTTTCCAATATTTTATTTGCAATATATGGCATATATTTGCTCATTTTGCAGCTACTTTATACGATTTACAGTATGGTCGAAAACTTTTTTTTGGGGGGGGGATGAATAGAGGATAATTCACGGATATCATCCATACCATCAAATCAACATGGCCTTACACAAATGTGCATGAAGAAAAAGGTCTTCCAAACTTGTAATTACTTTTTAGGGCTGTTCTTGGAGTCAGCAAAAAAATATCATAAGGTAACAACAGAAAGATTTCAAGGGAGCACTATTTAAACCATACAAGTATTCAAAATATAATTAGTATTGGTAGGACAATTGGAACAGAATTCTTTATGTCAAATAAGGAACGTTGGTCATTCCAGTGCTTGTGATAGGACTAATGTTGATTAAGATTAGTGGAAAAGTCACGTATAGTGAGCTATGGATAGCATCTATCAGCATGCACTAGTAAGAATAGGTGTTCCATTCAGAATGCAGCAAAACAATCATGTGTAAAGATATAGATTATTTTGATACAGTTTTTAACTGTTGCAACATGTAGCTTAGGCCACACCAATTTAATTTCTTGGTTAACGGATTTTTCTAGAAAAATAATGGAGCAGGCGGGCGAAAAAATAAAAAATAAAAACAGGCCTAGGCATCCTATTATGGCCCAAAATGGTAGGATAGGAGCCATGAAGTCAACACACCAGGCTGGTTCAAAATTTAAACAATGAATTTTGAACTTGTAATGACACCATTGCATTGAAAGATGGAATAACTGTAACAACTAGGATGAAAAGGACTGTTTTTAACTGTTCAGGGCAAAATATGAGCATTTTGCAGCTGATTCTGAATTTTTATTTTTATTTGCAAATCAGAAAAAAATGAAGCGGGCGAATCCGTTAACCAAGAAATTAAATCGGTGTGGCCTTAATGTGAATTTCTCTGCATGCTAAGTTGTCATTGCTGTTGTTTTTGTTTTTTATTGTTTATTTGATGCTGCTGCATATATATCAACAAATGGCCCTTTTGCTTGCCACAATGACATATGACCATAAGGTTTTCATAATGTTTTCATGTACAACTGCAGGTACATGTATATTGTTGAAATACCTTTTGTTGGTGCTGTTAAAATGATAATGTTTGCAATTATTAATGTGTGGTGTCTTTGGGCGGATGCCACCAAATTACAAAGTATATATGGAAATATACTTTGCTGTCATTAAATCTTTGTTGATGAAGACAATCCATAAATTATGCCTTCAAAGTAAATTAAATATCGATTGATTGATCAATCGCTGTGTTTGCTGTCATTTTCTTACTTTCTGAAGCTTTTTTTTCTCTAGAGAGAAACATCCATACAGAGTTCTTCGCCTCGAGTTATGCTGTTGACATTCATAGGTTATACAAATGCATATCAAACGTATATATACAATCGTTTCTCTATGCATTGTACACAACGACAAACGATACTACATATAAAATTTAGGCCAAACACTAATTAAATTGGGACCCAAACTCCGTTACTACAGCTTCCGGGATGTTACGTCGGAAACAGATAACCTGCCAGATAAGCTGTGTCGCCCCCCGTCTCTGTTCATTGTTGGACTGTTGGCCCGAATATACACAGCCAGCCTCCTTCACTCCTCTTGCAAAGAAATTCGGTTAATCTAACTTTGTCCAGAGAGACGGAGTATCCCGGAGATTCTATGTGTGTTGGGATACATGATCGGTTGTTGGTGTTCCAAAAACCTCGTTTTTAAAGAACGTTCTGTTTCTTCACACTACTTTTTTTTTTACCTTGGCAAGCTAGGGTCACGAAATTTGGATAGTAGATAGCTCTCATGCTGGGGATGTGATGTGTGATGTGAATTTGACACCATAGTTTGCTCTGGAACTGCAGGGCTATCTGTTTGAAAATATTCAAAAGCGGATAACTCAAGAATCGGTTGACGGATCGTCATGATTTTTGGTATGTAGATAGCTTACGTGATGCTTGATATGATTATGTGACAATTATGCAAATATAAATGTAATTTGCATAATTTGTGGGGAGATTCTATAAATCAGACTATTGAAGCTTGTGACATTGGTAATTGAGAACAGAAGAAACACAGGCAGATATTGATTATGTAAATAAAGACTTAATTTGCATAATTAATGAGAAAATTTTATAATTATGTAATGATAACTGCAGAAGGAACTTTATCAACAACCTCCTCTCTTGTTACACTTGGATGATTCACTTCACATCTATTCCTGGCAGCTAGTAGCAATACACAGTTCCCTCTCACCAGCTCCTGAGCAGAGGGGTGGTTGGTAGTTGTGCTAAAATGTGGCATCCTCCAGTAAAAGGGACACAATGCAAATGAAGAGAAACAATGAATGTAAATGTGCTGATGTAAATCCAGGAAAGCAGTGGTTTGCTCAACTGTAGTAGTCAGCAATGGTCTAAAAGTCTGCCATTTGTTTTTAACCACCGGTGCTGTCCTTGGTGCTGAAAGCCACCCCTAAGCAGTATCACCCCCTCCCTCAGTTCGATGATATTAGCCTTTTTCGCCTCTTTTTGTCACATAAATCGACCCCTTTTCTCAGTAAAGGCAGCTCGAACAACTCTTTGGCTTATCTGGAGCAACATAATTGGCTCAAACACTTCCGTTCGTCGGAAAATCCGTCATAATTCAGTCATTTTTACCGTGTTTAACCGAAAGTAAAGCGACTTCTGGTGTTTCGAATGGGTTGCCCATATTTGGGCATGAAGTTAACGTAATCATAGCTGCCAACCAATCAACAACGATCAAACATAATTACGTGAGCCAATCAGTATCAATGGCTCATCCTCGTTGCAAAACGCTAAATGTCACTATAATTATAACCAATCAGCATTAAGGATACATATTTCAATATAAATTTATGACCTTTAGCGCCATGGATAAAAAATTACTGCAGGGAAAGTACCTGCAATAATTACGCGGGGTGCTAGAGGCCCTCACTGACACGTGTAGTGATGGCTCTAGTTGCACCCAAATAACTGGGGCGCGAGGGATCTATATCTATTTGGCATTGAAGGGATGAACAGGCATACCAACAAATAGCTAACTATTTTGACCTTTCGTTATAAATGCGTATGTAAAGTGGAAGCAAGTACCTTTTACAGCTAAAACAGTATACTGAGGCTACTCTCCAAGCAGAGGTTGATGAGAGAAGGTCGTTACCTTTTTATATATGACCCTTTTTGTCGCTACCCCCCACCAACTCTCCAACCAGTGGTTGATGGGGAAGATCGTTACCATTTCACATTTGCCCCGTTTTGTCGCTACCCCCACCAACTTGTTATAAAGTAGTTAATTGCTTGTTGGTACGCCTGTTTGTTTATCTTTTCATCGCCTTTCATTGCCAAGTTTACTCCCTCACGCCCTTGTTATTTGGGGTGTAATCCATGTAATTATTTCAGGTAATCAGAAAATTTTTCCTGCAATAATTTCAACGACTGCTAGAAGTCGCTTTTGATCCATGGCGCTGAAGGTCGTAAATTTACATTGAAATATGTATCCTTAATGCTGATTGGTCATAATTCTAGTGACGTTAAGCGTTTTGCAACGTGGATGAGCCGTTGATGCTGATTGGTTCTTGTATTATCATTGCTCGATGTTGATTGGTTAAAAGCAGTGATTACGTTACTTCATGCCCAAATGTGGGCAACTGATTCGAAACATCAGAAGCCGCTCCACCCAGGGACGTGCGTTTTTGTGCGGCGTGTTGTGCGTGAATTCTCTCCAAAGTTTTTATTAAATTTTCGGCATGTTGTCAGCAAATTATCCGTCAAAAGTGTACATTATATCGCAGGAATGTTGCCGGGATGAATTTATGCCGTTCGTTGGATGTTTTAAGGGAGAAAATGCGCATTTCCTGGCAGGACGACAAGAAGCGAAAATGGCGAGAAGGGCGGCGTGGTGTTTGGAAGACTCATTTTGGGAGGTAAGACAACTAACTATGCACGTTTGCACATCCAACAAACCTATAGCAACAGAGCACGTTATGTTTCGTTATAATAAAGGGTAAATGCCCCGACCCGAGGTGTATATGGTGAGATAATCCCTGGTCGGGTGCGATAACCACCAAATTAACCACCAAGTGAAACGAGTACTTGACTTGTATTTTTCATAGGGAGTTTGTTTTCTTGAATATTGTGCTTTTGGGGGGCGCTGAATATATTTCGTTCGTGTTGAGTGGCATTGAAAAAGCTAGAGAGGCGCAAATTTCGTTGCCAAAAATTCGATACACTTTTTAATTTCCACAGT